GTTTCAAGCGGTGAAAAATCTCTCTGCTCATTTCAGGTAGCTACGTTTTAGGCTGTTTTGTAAATTTTTTGGTGATTTTTGGGTATATTTCAGGATAAATAGTTTTTCTCAAAGGATTAATAAAATTTATGGAATTAAGAAATTTTGAAGATTTGATGTTGTTTTAAAATTAGAATTTGAAGTTAGAAATTGGTAGACGTACACCAGTTGCCCACCAACCCGGAGTGCCCTTTTGGGGGCAATCAACTGTCTGGTGGTGTTCCAAACCCCTTTTTTCCCCTTTTACACCCTCTTTAAACTTCCTAAAATTTCACTTAAATTCATGTTTACCCTCGCCTTAACTCGCGAACTGATCGGTTGAAATCGCGTCGCTTTTCGATCTCTCGACATAAAGCAAGACAAGGATAAGTCGAGTCCAGTTATACTCGGCCACTCGAAGTTCAACTGTACTCGCGTAAAAAGACGACGACTTGGGTTCGTACCTTCTCAACTATGTACGAATACAAGACGAGGACTGGTTGGGTTAGATCAATTTATATTCGGAAACCGTCGCAGCTCAAAGATGTACTCGTATAAAGAGGTCGAAGACTAGAGCTCGTGCCTTTCCGACCTATATGTACGAAAACAAGACGAGCACTGGTCGGGTACTCGTAGCTCACGAACTGAAAACGAGCGCCGGTCGAGTGCACCACTTCATTAGGGTACTCGAGTCTATGGTTGAAAACATTAATGAAACAAGACGGACAGCTTTTAATTTTGCTTAACTAGTGAACCCTTTACAAAATGTTTCTGTTTGGAATACAAACTCCATTGTTTACAATAGCGTTAAGAACATTGCCGGTACCCACAGCCGGCGGTGCCTCGCTTGTCTTGAGGAAAACGATAGAGTCACCCGCAATAGGTTTTTAGGTTGACGTGCCGTGTTTATGTCGCTGGTCTGTTGATATTTATTTATAAAGGCATGGCTAGTGGGGCACCAGCGACAGGAACATTTGTTTTAAGTTAGCGCTCTGTTGTCGTTACGTCAGGTTTTAAAATGGGTAATAACCAAACCACGGAACGTTTCCAAAGCCGAGCTTCGGTCAGTAAGAACCCCGCGGTGTCGTTCACAGGGCAGTGATAAAATATTCAGGGATTGCCTTGTTTGAATGAAAGGGAGCGTGCACAGACGTGGTGACCTTTACGGAACAGTTGGTTAAAACCAGGCAACGGGCAAGGTTTTAAAACATATTATCTCATTCTACCCACGAGAACGTGTTCTGGATTTGGAAATGAGCCCAGCGTTTGGCTCGTTGAAGAGGCTTCGGCGTTTCATGCACAAGTTTAATCTAAGTGGACTTCAACGGTAGAGACCTTTAACCAGTAACAGGGTCGATTTGCCATGACTGACAAAAGACTTAGAACAGGTAAGTGAAACGGGGTGAGTAGTTTTTATTCACCATTGAACAGGGTGCATTCAAAGGCGTTAAAGAACTTCTCACCAAATAGAACGCTTGTCAATACTTAGGAAATTCGAGAATTTTCATTGCACTAGCTAACCCAACTATCTCGGAATCATGCACAGTTCAGTTCTCGTTCATAACAAATTTCCAAGTCATTAGTAACCTGACTAAAAGATTCACTGCAGTCAATTGAGGTTCGTGTCCCTTCGAACTTATTTAACTGCCTCGTCTCTTCTCACTGAACAACTTCAACCGACTTAATGCCGACTCCGAAAACCGTGGACTTCGAAGGTATGTTAAACTGTAATATATAGCTGCAGTCATTTGATTCGAATTATGAAATTCTCTAAATTAAATCCGAGCGTTAATTTTTAATCAGTTGAAACAAACTAGGTAAGAAAGGCTATTTTCGAAACTAACTTCATTTAGTTTGAGGTAAATAAGTTTGGACTTGTAGAAATAACCTTTCAAATTATTAACCTTCATTAGCTTATTTCGAGGCTTCGTATTCGAGTGGACTAATCTGTTGGTTAATAGCGATGGCCTCCCATAGATATTCAGTAACAGGTTGTTTTTCATAAACCAACACATTTTCTTGCTTCCTTGAATAAATTGAGCACCAGTTAACAAATTTTGCTAATGAAATTTTACAGCAGCAGCACTCTGGAACCAGAAGATGAGAATTAGTACTATTATAATTATCTTTTAACAAATGGCCGGTTTGCAAACAATGACAAAATCATCACAAAGGGAATTTAAGAACAGTTTTCGAATTTTATGACAAACAAACAAACGAACCAATTAGAGCTTGAGGCAAGATTAGCGTAACCAGCGGCAAGCGACCGGAAAGCGCGGGAAAGTCGCGTGTGGTAATACTGGGTTTAACGCATGATTGGTTGGTTGAATGGAGCGGTTTTCAACTGAATGGCGTAAAACCATAACCAAAGTAATAACTTTGGCCAATCACAAAGAACAGACACAATACGCTGAACCAATCAAGACTCGAAGCAAATCACCATGTAACCGTTGCGAAGCGCGGGAAAACGTGTACTGTACGAGTGAGTCACGATTGGTTTAATTTGACGACTGACTGGATGACAGATGGCGCGAACTATTTAAGCCAATCACTTAGCGTAATGATACAAAAATTTATGACTTTCGACAATCAAGTGAAAAGCGCTCTATCGCCTCCGTTCAGATTGGTCAGCGTACCTTTTACACCGTTTTTCCACGCTCAAGATTTCACTAGTTGAAAAAGCATCAACACGGATTTCCAGGCATTGAACATTTATCGTCGATACAAAATGAAAAAAAAAAAAAGAAAAAAAAATATCGTCGATTGAGGGTATTGTTTTCGTTTGTTTTTATCTAGATCACCTCGACATTCTTAATTTGCGCAGTAAAATGCTTCTCGTTGCTTGTAGTTCTCCACATTTTAGTTCTGTTGAATAGGTACAAAGAGCCATTTCGGTTGGTTTTGATTTAAAATAAACAGAGTGAATAAACTAAAGGTGGGAATAGATTACACTTTGTGCGCACATCTCTTTATAAGCAGAAGTAGAAATCGCTTTTGAGACGTGCCTCCCAGGGGGGATGGAATGTTCCCTTGATCCCTTAGCTTGGAAATTTCACTTTTTCACACCCTTGTTTCCCATCATGATAAATTCCATTTTTCTCTAATTTTTTTGTCAAAGTTCCCTTTAATAGTACAGATATCCCCTGTTCCCTAAAATTAATCCCAAAAATATCTCTGGTTCTCTTGAAATAAATGACCATGTTCCCTTGTTCCTCAAAACCTCTGGGATACCCTCACTTTAAAATCTTCAACATTACATGCAACAATTTAAAAGTTAAATAGGTAATGCCGAAGCACAACCATCGGCCATTCACTGCATTCTGCTTATCGAATCTCTAAAAAAACTCGACAAGTGGTCTTCTTTATAGACTTTCTTTTTCTGAGCGCTAAACCGTGGTCTGATGCGGGTATCGTCGCCATTTTGGTTGTATTTTAAAGCATTAGAACTTGCTTATGTTGAGTGCAATATTCAAACATGTATCCGTGCCTTGATCTATTACTGACAGGATAAAAGCTAGTGCTTTAAGTCCTAAGCTCGATGAGTTTATTCTCCTCGTTAATTCCACATATTTATGTTATCGTCAATTTTGAGAATGTCGTTGTTTATCAAGACAATTACTCCTTTGCCTCTTTATTCTTATTTGTTTTTGATGTTTCCTTCAGCGAATGTTTCTTTTCCTGTTTATAGGAGAAACCTGTTGTCTGTTTCGACAAAGTTGTTCAGCATTCCTCTTCATCGTTACCTTGTTATACGTCTATTACTTCTCGTGTTTCATGAAAAATGAACTGCGAACCCCTTACCACCCTCCTCAACCCCTGTCCACTCACTTACTCTGTCGTGGCGCGCTTAAAACGCTGACCAATGGGAACTGGATGCGGAGAAACGTCAGTGATGACGTTGTGCGGAACAGAAAGAGACTGGATATTATGTTGCGGGAGCGTAAAGGTTGGCCCGAGCGGTTGTTTCACGGAGATCTCCGTTGCGGACCTTTATTTCCCCTTCCTCGTAAAGTTAGAAATCCAAGCAGACCTTATGTGTTAGATGTACAATCGCAGTGCGATACTGAAAGTAATAATTACTGTTGCCAAGGAAACACGGGCTGGTGTGGGCATGGTGACAAATTCTGCGACTGCCCCAGCTGCATAAATTACAAGTCGTTCATCTCCGCTGAGCTTGCGCAATGGCAGCCACTCAAAGGTTGCCATGTCAAGAACTTCACGCAATCTTCTGCGTGCGAGTCGATGTCACGCGGGATAAGTAGCGTGACGTTTGTTGGCGATTCCCTAGTGCGACATTTCTTCTCGGCAATGGTTATTCTCTTGACGAACGATCCACTCTATGGTGCACTGAAGTTCACAACTCCGACCAAGATGCGTGACATCTGTAGAGGTGACAGTCAGTTTGTGGATAGCATCTGTCACGTGCATACTGCCATGACGTGGCGTGACATTATGGACAATCCAAATTTTTGCGACGGCTGGGCAAGGTTTCAAATTTCCTACGTGAAAGCGTACAAAGTGGAGACGGCAGGGCTGGCCCTTCTCGCGATCAAAAAACTCTTGAACAAAGTTGGCTCAGTTGTTCTCATGGGAATTGGAATTCACAACAACTTCAATGCGTCAGCGGTTATCCAATTTTACCTTGAGCCCGCAGTGCGACTGGTTTCAACGTCCAATAATGGCTGGCCGCACCTTATTTGGCTATCAACCCATTCGATGGGTCCTTTGAAGCCAATCAATTATCACAGGGACCAGGGAAACCCGGCAATATTGTCATTCAATAACCAGTTATCAGAATACTGCAACCAGCACAACGTGACGTTGTTTGATACCTTCAACATGACAATGGGAGTTCACAGTTTTGACGGTACGCACTTCGGAGTTGGTGTTAACACCATGAAAGTACAAATCCTCTTGAACTACTTGGAGGAAACGTTTTCAAGGTGATGGACAAGAAGGGGTACTTTTACTGAGTTGAAGCTCCCCCTCTCCTCCCCTTGTGCAAATTACAGGGTGTTGACCACACCCCTACGGTATTGTATGTTTCCCTCATCTCCACCCGCTATCGTAGAATATTTACCCAAAGTGTTCACTAAGTGAAGAATGTTACTTGACCTAACGAAAGTCATTAGAAAAAGGTTTAACAACGGAATTTGTGTGAATAATAATTTCAAACGAATTCCTGAATGCAGAGGACCACATAACGCAGGCTAAAAGAAAACTGAAGAAAGTTTCTTCTGGCAGAAAACTGTTCTTGTAGAGAATACTGAACAGACACACCACTCAAGGTGCGAAGAAAATTATGAAGAAAACAGGAAGACCAATATTTCGACCAGAGTCCCGAACGGCTCCTAAAATTTGAATAGCAATCTGAGTGACATATATTTAGTAATGACAAGGATACAGTTTAAAACGAGAGCATTCGGAGAAGAGCTTCTAAAAATTACGGATGAGTGCTCCGTAAGGCTTCAAAACATCTGAAAAAACCTGACCAGTCAGCAACTCAATGAACTGTCTGGAGTACATGATAACAAGTACCAATTTTTTTACGTGCCAAAGTCTATGTTTCTGAGACTTTTGACACCAGCATTGCGTGTTAAATAGGTTATGTATCAATTCCACATTGTTTCACCTTGACATATCATATGTTTTGTATTTCACGAGATTAAAGTTGCGACACCAAATCTCCTGGCCCTGGTCGTTCGAATGCTGGATAACGCAATCCACGGGATAAATCGCTATCCATTGGATAAGTGGTAACAAAACAAATTACGCTATCCACTAGATAGTGATTTATCTGGTGGATAGCATTATCCACCTTGTGAACAACCGGGGCCTGACTGATATATAAGAAACGAAATGACGATAGAAGGGCTGCAAGTCTTGGGCAAAAACCTTTCTCTCGGTTGTAGTGCTTTTGAGTCCAAACTTCTTTTGAAGATTTTTTGTAAAACGAGTCAAACTCTAATAAAAATTCCTCAGAACAAGATAATGGTTAACTTGTTAAAACGTTACCACACACTCCCAAAGAAATCCACATCTAATTTAACATGGAAAATCTAAATTGGTTTTCTACATTTAACGGGACAGAATTTATTTTATTTGTCATTTTTATTGTAAGATATATAATATCTTGTACATATTATATTAAATCTAAAAAAATAATAATAAATAAATAACAACTTTTCATGTGCAAAGACCATGTCAATCCACAGTGTGATAATAAAGTTGTTTCCTTACTTCTCAATAAATTATTTATTTATTTCTCAGTCCATTAGCAATACATGCTAAGAGGCCTAACAC